TCTTATGTTGAGTTATTGGACCTTTTGGTCCCCAGGATGAAGCTTTATGGTTCAAATCTGATTTCTAGGCTTAGGGTTGCCACCCTTGGTGCTATTTGAGTCCCTAAGGCAGAAAGTTGCCATCTTGAAGGTCCTAATGGGTTCATGCAAGAGTTAGACCATTTTCATGGAAGTAGTATACCATTTTTAGAGTTTGGGCTTGTTTGGGACACGCAAAGTCACCAAGTCAGGGACTTTATGGGTTTAGACGTTATGTAGAACTCAGATCTATGATTTGGTCCCTTAGTTTGAAGCATTAAGTGCTAATAGCAAAAAGAGCTTAAAATGGGAGTACGTGGGTGTACAACCTGGAACGTACAGTGTACAGGTCACGAACCTAGTACGCCCTGCGTACTCAGTCAGAGTGGGCTTCGTACATATGGGCCTCGTTTTGGGCCATTCATGGACTTTGCTACTTTGGGTCTTTGGGCCATCTGGATTGAACTTTTTGACTATAGAAGCATTATTGTGTAACGCCCGTAGATCCGGGCTAGTCAATTTAGAGATAATAGGGGTCGAAAACGACTTTTTGACAAAAGATTATTTAGAATAAATAATCTTACCCAAGTTGTAGAATACATCTCAAGGGTCCGTACATATAAAAGAACGTGAAATCCGAGTTATACGAAGAAGTTATGGTCCGTCGAAGTTTTACGGCAAAAACCGGCACGACATCGGGAGACGTAAAATAGTGAATTTTTGATAAAGTACTTTTTAGCCTTAGTGATCTAAACAAAATTTGTAGTATACGTTAAACCGAGAACATACGAAAAAAGAACGCCCAAATCTGACTTCGTATGAGGAAGTTATGAATTTCTAAGATTTGGCATAGCAGTGCCACGGCCCCGAAACTTGAATTTTAGTTCGCGGGTTTTTGGCTACACGACCTAAATGAGAAGTGAATATCTCATTAATAGGAACTCACGGTAAAAAGACAGACGAAAACAGAGTCCGTATGTAGAATTATGAATTTTAACGCGGACATTTAACAGTATAATCTCCTCGTGCTGTTAAATTTAAGATCGGTCGAGAATTAGCCGACAGAGTCAAAATGAAAGTTGTAGATCTTATTTTTAACTACGCTTGGATGTAAGGAACGTCAAAAACGGAGCTCGTATGTGAAAGTTACGGATTTTAGAAGTCGGAAGTGTGTTGTGCGAAAATGGGTGATGTGGCACAATCTTGGTCATTGCTTTCTCCCCAAGTCTTGCCACTAGATGGTGACATGTGGCACCAAGTTCAACCATTTTTCACCCTATAAATAGAACCTCTCCCACCATCATTTTTTTCATACCTTTCTCATTCTTTCTTTCTCTCACTAATTTCTCTCTCTAGCCCCGAAACCCCCCCCCCCCCCCCGAAAATCCTAGGGAACCTCCCTAGCACGAGGAGGAAGCCCTGGAGTGCTCGACGGCTCCGAAAAGAAGAGTTTTTCGGCTCGGGAACGCTGCTCCAAGCAAAGCCCAATTTTCTATAAAACCCGCTGTAAGTGGCTACGTCTACGCTATTTTTAATATAGCTTTTATTTAATTATAGTAACGTTATTAGGAACTTATAATAAGTACTTGGGCTATTATTATGGGTTATATAAGTATTGTTTAACGCTTATATAATAGTAATAATAGTTAGACTATTAATTAGTCTCGTTGAACATTAGACTAAACTCTAGTGGAAATGATACTAGGTTTTGTCAACGGAAATTTGTTTTAAAGTAAATGAAGTGATGTCCGAGTACCGAGTCACCACCATTGCAGGTGAGTGCATAGTTACTTTCATCTTACACATAGATATGAAGTATTTTATATAAATTACGTGCTATGTGTGCATAATAACCTGTATACTTGCTATCTATGTTGGATGAATGATTTTATACATTTTAAATAATTTAAACTGTATATGTATTTTATATCTATGAATATGTTGGGTAAAACATGGTAGATGAATGATGAGAGATGAAAGATGATATGAGTGAACATTGGCAGCTATAGACTTAGTGCCTAATAAATAACATCGGCAGCTATGGACTTAGTGCCTATTGAATAAACGTTGGTAGTTATGGACTTAGTACCTGATAGACAAACGTGGTAGCTATGGACTTAGTACCCGATAGATAAATGTTGGTAGCTATGGACTTAGTACCTATTATATAAACATTGGTAGCTATGGATTTATTACCAGATGAATGAACTTTAGCAGCTATGGAATTAGTGCTTTACGAATGAGCATTGGCAACTATGGACTTAGTGTCTGTCTTATAACCCTATAAGCAAGGACTTCGGAATGAACGAATGCAGGATAAAGGGACTCTTAGGGTAGACCTTAAGAGTGTGGAAGATAATGGGGATGGGTAATTGGGTTGATTTGTTTGATGTTTAAAACATAATAATTGAATTATTGTGGGTTGAAATCCATATGTACTCACAGGTTTCCCAACCGACCCACTCAGCTTATTTGTATCACAGGTGTCGATATGAAGCTACTTTACACTGAGGGATTTAAAAGAGATGTAGATCACTAGTGTAAATGAATGTAAGTTCTGTTTATGCTTATGTTTATGTATTAACGATGACATCCCAAATGTTTTAAAATGGATAAAAAATACATTTCTTCGGAAAATGCTTTGATAACGTATTTATCATGTTTTTCTGGGAACAAATTTCGCAACATTTTTATTAAAAGAGGTACTCTTATTTTTATAAAGCATAAACAAAATCGGTCTTTTCTGGCCGTGAAAAATGGGGATGTCACATATTGGGCCTTAGGTTGAGGCCCATGTGAATGGATTGGGCCCAATTGGAAATTGGGCCATATATATTGGGCCTTGTAAGAGTGTTTATCTTTTTGGGCCAAGGATTCGGTAGAGTTCATTTTGGGACAAGAGTATGTGAGGGGTAGAATGGTCTTTTACCCCAGTGAGGACTTATGGTTAAGTTATAAGAATCCCGAACTTAATTAGTTTATATGATGATTAATAGCTCGGGGAGTCAAGAGATCAGCAGTTCGGGGATCTGCCAGTCAGCAGCCGGAGGATTATCTGTGAGATTCTGCATTCAGCTTTGCGAGGTGAGTCTCCTCCTGTAGGGACATGTCGAAGGCACCAATTTCGGCTCGTATGTATGATTGTATGTTTCCGAACCAAGGTCGGATGTCGGGCGGTGCCCAGGAATGTTTATATGTGTGCTTCGGACTACGGTTCGATGTCGGCTGGTATCGATGATTATGTGCATGTTGATTATACTTGTTGTCTGTGTGATACTTGTATGTGCCTGGTAGGGAGGTGAGTGTGGGCGGAGTCATGTATCTCATCACTAGCTGAGTATGGACGGGGTTCCATATCTCATCATTAGCAGGCGCGGGACGGGGCTCAAGATAGGTGAGGCCTTAGGACTGGAGCATATAGTACTGTGTATGATTCTTTATATGCTAGTATGATTATATGATATAGTTTGTATGTGTATAGCGGGCGAGGCCCAGAGACAGGCGAGGCCTGGAAGAAACAGATATGTATACCGAGCGGGGCTCGATGCTAGGCGGGGCCTAATGCCGGGCGGGGCCCGAGGAAGGGGCGGGGGCCCAGTATATGTGTTATGTGTATGGTATGTGGTAGTATGGGGAACTCACTAAGCTTCGTGCTTATGGTTTTCAATTTTGGTTTCAGGTACTTCCAGTTGCAGAGGGAAGAGCTTGGAATGACTGCATCGCACACACCATAATGTTTAGTCAGGGATGTTTACTCTGATGTTTTGATTCGGAAACTCTGATAATAATGTTTTGAAATACTTTGACTCATGTTTTGATGAAATGATTTGATAACTATGGTTTTATTAATGATTTAAAACGAAATTTTTAGTCATGATTTTTGGGATGTTACAGGTTGGGTTGGGTAAATGTTGTCAACCCGTTTTCAACCCACCAACCAATTAACTTTAATATATATTAATTTAATAACTATTTAAATATTATCATGTATTAATCTAAGTATTAATTTATAAATTATAGTGTTGTATTATTATTTATGTTTTAAAAAAATGTAATCATAATTCTTATCTTTTTTCTTTGCACGACAACATTAGTCACTCTTCAAAATCATTTCGAAATTACATATCATCAATGTTATTTGAATAATTTCTTTGTATTTGTGAATTGGAATTGTGTTTTTATTATATTTGAAATTTTATTTAAGGTTTAAACTAATTTAAATGGTGTAATCTTTAGTTTATTTATTTATTTTTTTTATCTTAAATAGGTTAACCTAGGTTTAACCCCACTTATTTAATAGGTTGGGTTGAAAATTACATAAACGGGTCAACTCGGTGACAACCCATTTATCTGAAAGGTTGAGTTGGATTTGAAATATTTACCCATTTAAAAAAAATGTTGGGTTGATTGAAATCTTCAACCCAATAATAAATGGGTTTAACCCAAACTCAACCCAAGTCGACCCATTGACAACTCTAGTTTTTATAAGATTTTAAGGGTTTTTTAAGAAACCCAACAATAATAAGACTTTGCCGGAGAGTTCAAGAATACATCGATAAGACAAAAATAATCCAGCAAAAGACAATCTTTGCCTCTTAAAAGTACAAAAGAGGAAACAAACCTCCCTCTTGCAATTGAAATTTGAAGGTGCCCTTTTACAGTGACTGAATAACACTGTACTTTTTTCTAATCAAAGATAACTTACAAAAGAGCTATTCCTTCCTAAAAAAAAAACCTAAAAATCCTACAACCACTTTGTTAATAATTAGAAAAACAACATATCTTAATTTTAACCTCTCACATGTTAACATTACATTTTTTTTACCTCACTTCATCTTCACCGAATGCCAGTCTTCCTTTTATGCCGGCTAAAATCCGATACAAACCGAAACGTCTGACCGCACCCGTCCTCGGTGCACACATACGGTCTTGCCCGGTGTGGACCCGTATATGTTCGGTTCGAGCCCACGCCCATTTGAATGTCATTTTGCAACCTTTCCATGGACATTGAAGAGGACGATCATCCATGTGTACACGCCTATGTTGCACCAAATACTTATGTGAAAAGAATTTTTACCACATCCTTTCACCGGACACACGTTCCTTTTATGAACAATAAGTTCTTGTTTACTATCAAAACTCATATTACACCCTTCCATATCACAAGCAAATTCACCATCTTCATCTTCATCTCTCACTAGTGCTTCCATCGTGGGACCCGAACCCAAACCCTTTTTCACCTTTTTCGTCCCACTCATTTTCTTAATCTCGGGAGACGGCGGTGGTTTTATAATCCGTTTTCTTAACCGCCTACTCGACCCACCACCACCACCGGATTCTTCGCCGGAATCCATGGTGAACGGTGGTGTGATTGTTCTAGACAAAAGGGCGGTGGCTGTTTTTCTTTCTTAGGTTCGTTCTCGGCTGTCGCCGGAAACCACCGCTTGCCGCCACCGCTGCCGCCTCGACTTTCGCAAACTTACTTTTTACACTACTTTCCACCATACAACTCTTCTTCCTCTTTCTCACACTTTTTCTAAATACGGTGATTTCGGGTCGTTTATCGATTTTTTATATTCGATAAAACCGAACCAGGCCCACCAATCTCGTCTTCTTCTGGGTCCCGTTCTGTTAACAACGGGTGAGCTTGATTCGACATCCATACTTTGCCACACCATTTTCCCGCCACCACAATTTTTTTCTCCTTCCGGAAGGTTTCGCTTTTGTTGGGCTACTGGAAGTGAAATGTCCAAATGCGCTGTAAATAACTAAATTGTAAGGCATTTGTTTGCTGTAAAGAGGCGAACGGGAAAGACTAGCACTGTAAAAAAGATTGATTCCTAATTTTACAGCCCAGTCTCGGTTTCCGTGTGTGGCTTCTGAACTATCGAGAGCCGATTGTATCCATTCTTTGTCTTCTTTGTTACTTTCTCTAAATCCAAGATCTGTCCACCTGTCATGGGTCCCACATTCTGTTGCAACTAACTTTGCTTCCGAATCTAAAGAGGGATAATCTGCAAATAGTGTATCAAAATTACATTATTGGTCACTGAGTATAGTTAGTTTATTTGCAAATTTGGTCCCCAAAAGTTCTCTTGTAATTTTGGTCCTTGAGTAGAGGACTTTTTCTTTTTGGGACCAAAACTGAAGAAATGAGCTATACTCAGGGACCAAAAATGTAATTCTCTTCAGAAAAAAAAAAAAAAAAGTACCTTGGTGACAAAGGAGTAGAACGCGAATACCACCAACAGAGCGGAGGCGTTGTTCTACTTCCAGAGCATGTTGAAGGCAAAATATGTGCATTCTAGAAGAATCTTCATCACATGATGTTTTTGTGTTTTCAGTTTGTTTCCCAGAATCGTGTGTATCAGATAAAGGATTTTGTGACTCTATCTCATTATCAAATCGACCTTTTGAACAATTTGAGTCCTTGAAGCTTTTGTTTCTTTCAAGCTTGATAGAACATTCGAAAGTCTGATCATTTATATACTTCATATCACCTCTCACATCATCATCATCATCTTTGTTGACATGATCATCATCATCATCAGAATCTGAAGATTCGCCATAGGCTAAAGCCAAGAGGCCAAGGGGGAGGAATTCACTTTTTGTGCTTCAGTAGGTGAAGTTGCACCCGAATTATCATCAACATTTTGAATTTGGTCACTAGATTTTATTGGAACATCAAATAAACCATCATGGCCTCTTTCTGGTATTTTCCCTGCATTCATTCGTATGAACAAATATATAAAATGTTTTATTTACATAAAAATTACAAAATTGTGTACCTAAAGAGGATTCAGGATCCACCACACTTGCATCTTCATTAGCAGCAAAGAACTCAGTAGCAGCAACAAGATCACTAATACCTTTACAATCAGCTGACATGAGGTAATCTGCAGCTGCTTCTGTAGGTCTAATAATTGCAACACATGCATAACACAAAATCCCACATGTAACACATGAAAAATACCAGGGTCTGGTTTTTTATCACATTCACCACCCTTATACCTTCCACTTCCCATGTTATAAGAAGCTAATAAACTACTTGATGAAGCACAAAATGAAGAAAGTTTCCTCATGGGCTTTTTGTCTTGAACAGCATCATCTGAATCTGAACTGTTTGTAGAAAACTTTAATCCATCATTTTGACCAAATCCAAATCGACTTCCGTTAGATTTAACGGGATTCCGTTTGTCCGAGAATTCTTCCGGAAGAATTACAATAGCAGAGCCTTTACCAAGATTATGAAGAAGGTTGTTGTTTTGCATCATGTCTTCTAAAAATAGTCTTTTTACTGAAGCTTCTCCTTCAACTTTTAACTTGTCTTTTAATCGGGAGCTTCGAGGCTCGGGTTTGATGCTTGTTGGCACACTGTAGAATGGGTGTTTCTTTTTCACTTAATGCAGAAAGAATGACTTAATACAGAAAGTCAGAGAAATAAGGAAGAGAAACAGACCTTGAAGAGAATGATATTGCAAGATCATAAAGCAACTGAGAGTGAGACACCATTGGAGCACAGTTAATTGAAGCCCTACGAATTGCAGCATCTCGTGCAACTTTCAACCAGCCAGGTGTCGCAATATTAGCAGCTTCCCCACAATTAAATCTATATTGAAAAAGGAAAAATGAGACACAAATGGACAATAATAAGGTGGTGTTTCTTTTTGACTTAATAGAGACAGAACTCAGGTGATGCTTCATGCTTCTTTTTTTTACTATTAAGTCTTGTATGGGTAATGATTTTGGATAAAGCGGTGTATAAATAAGGTCTGTTTCTTTTCTTGACTGAATAAACCGTCTGAATGAGACTAAATGACCATTTTACCCTTACATTCCATGAAACAAATCTCACAATATTTATCAATTTTGACATAAGATGAGTTGAGAGGGAAAATTGTTTATGGGTAAAAATAATATAAGAAGAAGAGAATGGGGAGCAGAGGTAAAGATAAGTAATAATATGTTACCATGACTGAACCCTGAGTGATAAGCCCTAGGGAAAGTGACAACAAATTCTCCAGCATTTTGCACTAACCTGGTTAAAACAAAGTTAAAAAGCACACAGTTTCGTAAGGTAAATAAATTGATCTTAAAAGACAAACCAAAAGATTACAAGTATTAAGGGTTTTACCTATTTGTGGACTATATCACCTCTACAAAGTGTTATCAGTCTTACTTTTGACTAAATTTGAAAAACTAATATAGAAATTCATAGACCATCTATTTAAAATCTTGCCAAAATTGGTTGTAATAATGTTTAATCTTATAAACGTGAGTATAAACAAAAAAGTAGAATCTTAAAAAACCCTATAAAAGCCTCACCTGCAGCAAGGAACACCAGCCCTAAGTAATACTTCTGGAGATATAATTGTGGTCCTTCTCGCCAAGAGTAGCAAAAGTCACTGAAAAGCAAAATAAATATGAATCAAGTCGCCTCTGAAATGGGTTGCTTAAAATTAGTGAAGCCACAGACAAAAACGTGTAACAGAGCATGTAGTTAATCAAGAAAACAGGGGAAATTCGAGAGGTATGAGGCACCTATCTATCAGAATTTATATGAAATGGTAATCGTAATAACTCACCAATGGGATTGATCTCGCCTCCATAGGCATGTTCCCTGATAACATCTTCAAATGCAACCGCAGCATCCCTGGGTACGCCATACCAGGTTTTCGAAGCACCCAAATGCATATAATTCAAGCTATGGAAGTCATGATCTTCAACATGCCAAGCAAACCAGCTAAACAGCATGGAAATGTAAACCATGGGCGAAGTGACACCAGGTATTTCCTCCTTCATAAACTTCAACAAAGACCCTTTTGACCTTGAAACCCCTCTCATATTCCACTCGGTCTCCCCCACCGTCAAGGCGTCCCCAATCTCCTTTTTCCCGTGTTTCTTCCCATGTCCACCGCCCGTTTGATCAAATGCCGAGCCGGGCATGTCATTTGCATACTCAACTGAAAATGGTTTATCCACATGAGCCTTCCAGTAAAGTGTCTCGACTTCCAACGCCGTTAAACCCTTCTTCGAATTTGATCCTCTTTTAAGGTAACTCTTTTCAAAGCTTTTGGCTTTCACTTCAAATTGGGGCACGGTGTATATCTCGCCGCTCTGCCAAACAGGTTTCTGAACCGGTCGATGGTGCTTACGAGGGCAAAAACCGACCTGTTGCTGCCTGGTAGTGAATGTAGGTGATGAATCAGGGTTTCGGGCGGACAGAGAGCGATTCAGGTTAGCAATTACAGTTTTCTTGGGTGAAGCAGAGACAGGTGGGATGATTTTACAGATTCCATACTTGGAAGCTTCTTCTTCGATCTTGAAAATATATGAAATTGGATCTTGAAACTCAGCTAGGGTTGGGTGGTACTCTGGTGCTAAAGGTAGAGACTTCAACCATGGAAAAACCTCTTCACCCATTAAGGAAAATTACCGACACATACAAATAGAGTAGATAAACTTACAGATATTTGGGTATGCGTATGGTAGATCTGAGAAGCTCGTCAGAAGAGGTTCATGGTGAGCAGAGAGGGAGAGAGAAAGAGAGAGAAGCCTATGAGATTTCCTATTATATTTGATATAAATTGGTGTCTCCTCTGTTTCTTTATCACTAATTTATATTGTATTGAATTGAATTTCCCCTGTTTTTGCTTTTCGAGTTCTGAGTTTTCACAGAGGAAAAGGTGAAAATTGAAAAACAAGGGGCAGAGGAATGGGGTTTTGTTGTGGCTTTGGGAAGGTAATGAATGTTGTATCTTTTAAACTTCTCTAAAAAAAACTGTACTGATTAATGTTCGGTAAAGAATAAGTAATGCCAAATTTTACAAGTGTACAAATTTTTTTACTTACTAGGTTTGATGCCTTGTGTTACACAAGGAGGTTAGTATACAATAAAATGGTTTTTACTAATTTATGTGGTCGCTAACTTTATTAGCATAACTTAAAAATAAGTTAAAATATTGTTAAATAAACCGGTAAAAGTTTGTGTCGTTATGTAAATTGAAATATGTAATTTCGTTATATAAAACTACAAATAGATCACTAATCCTACTGATATCTATTTTCAGAAATTTACATCGTTTCTAAACTCCCGGTAATGTTTGGTTTTAGTTATAGATTATTATTTCTTCTACAGAAATTCAAAAGATGTATTCGGAAAAAATCATTATATTTCATTTTCTTTCTTATTAAAAAAGCATTACAAATTAAAAAGAGTAAATTACACGGATGGTCCATGTGGTTTGGGGTAATTTGGACGTTTGGTTTCTAACTTTTTTTTTTAACTCGGACGGTCCCTATTACATTTTTTTGTTGCGCGGTTGGTCCTGTCTGATCTAAAAAAACTATTTTTCCCTTAATAACTACTTTTATTTTGTTAATTCTTTTTTTATTATTACATTCATTATTAAATAAATTAAATTATTAATGTTTGTTAAAAAATCACCACCAAACTCATCTTAATCCTCTTACAAAACCTGCGATCACCTCCGGTCACCATGTGTGACATCATATACACAACCATAGATCCAATACCAAAGAAATCAACACAGAGCTACCTAACGTTAAACAATAAATTTGAATATACATCTAAAATCAAATCCAAAACCAAATCCAAAATAAAACCTGAAAATGAAATCTAAAACCGAAATGGAACCTACTGAGCAAACCCAAATCCAAAATCGAAGATGCAACTGAAACTAAAATGGAAGCAAAATCCATGATGCAAAAGTCACAGATAACATCACAATGCAAAAATCCTAATATAGCCCCAAATGCAAATCAATTAATAAAAAAACAATCCTTTCGTCAGTATCAGAAGAACAACCTTTTGATGCCTTCACTGCTTCACGTCGATCGTCAAACCACTACCAGACTCCTCTATTTCTTGTATATCCAACACCACTGGAATTATGGATGTTCCAGGTGGCGACGATGTAGAAGATCGAACCAGAAGTGGGTTGCGATGTCGGGGTTGTAGCCCACTAAAGGGGGATGGGTGATGCAAGCTCCGGTGCATGGAAATAGAGGGGTGATACATCTTAAGGAGGACGAAGGGTGAGTGAGTGGGTGAACTAGTTGCTTCCCGATGAGAAAAGGGGTAACTAAATCTGAATTTTAGGGTTCTGTTCTAATTCTAGATAAGAGAAGAAGAGGGTTGATGATGGAAGAAGAAAGATGAAATTATATAACTTGATTGTGGAATGGGAGAAGTGTAGAAGATGGTGAGGTAAGTGATCGATGATGTAGTGATGTAGGTGGAGATGAAGAAGAAGAAGAAGAAGAAGAAGAAGGGAGGGGTACGGTAGATTTTAAGGATTTAATATCAAATGTATTTTTTTAATCTATTAGTGTTTTTTTAATATTATAAATAGAATAAAAAGGTAAATGAATAAATAAAAAAATTATTAAGGGCACAATTGTCTTTTTAAGTCGGACAGGGATCAAACGCGCAACAAAAAGATGTAATATGGACTGTCCGAGTTAAGAAAAAGAGTTAGAGACTAAGTGTGTAGATTACCCTAAACCACATGGACTATCCGTGTAATTTACTCAATTAAAAAAATCAAAAGGAAACATTCGACTGGTTATCTCTTTTAGCCCGATTATTATTGCCTAATGACTTTTTATAATAGTATTATTAGTAGCTATCACTAGCTATTGTATTATCAGTGTATTATTTGTCTTGTGTATTTGTTTGATAACTTAGGCACATGTATTATACATATTTGTATATATTTGTATACATGTACATGTCAAGGATGTCCTAAGCGTCTAAACAAATAAATAAGGGGTATAAAGGTTATTTAAATTAATGTCAAATTCACTAAGGGGTAGTACAGGAAAGCAATGTCAAATTCACAAAGACACAGTCCTAAAGTCTATGTCTTTTGCGTAAGGCACGTACTAATCTGACAGTAAATTAAATAAGGGGTTTTGATGATTAAAACTAATATTAAACGTAAATTTATATTAAATATATATGCAACTAATAACTTATGCAAAATCAGATAATTAAAAGCAATTTTAATTCCACAGTGACTCTCCTAATTATGCAAATAACTTTCAACTTGATTGTTTGAATTGTGTTCTGTAACGTCCCTGAAATAAGACCCAAAAATTTTATTTTAATTTAAATAAAACGGTACTTCAAAACATTGTCATACAACCAAGATAGACCAAAGTATGTCACTACATCATATCATATTAGAGTAAATCAGAAAATACGGAAAAAGGTGGTGTGTGCTCTACAATCATCTCGGGCTTTTCCATTTCGAACCAGAAGTACCTGAAACATAAAATGAAAATTATAAGCACAAAGCTTAGTAAGTTCCCCAAAATACCACATACCATACATAAATAAACACATACTGGGCCCCCACCCCACATCGGGCCTCTCCCGGCATCGAATCCCACTCGGCCTCGGGCCCCGCCCGACATCGAGCCTCGTTCGGGTTACAGATCTGTCATTTATTAGGTCTCGCCTGACATCGGGCCCCGCCCGGTATACATAAAAACATATAAACATATAATCATGCTAACACGTACGATAATCACAAAGTCAATAGCATACAATACAGTCATCGGGCCTCGCCCCACATCGAGTCCCGCTTGGTATACATACCAGTACAATAACACATGCAAGACTCACGCAAACATCTAGCATCCTAACATAATAATCATGAGTCAGCATTGGTGCCTTCGACTCGCTAAACCCGGTAAGGAAACTCACCTCAGACTGCTGAATCTCACAGATAAATCTCTGGCTGCTGGCCCGCTAAAATCCCTGCGCTATCAATCACAAAAATAACATCCAATTAATAATTGGATCCCGAATCACACTAAGAGTCCAAACCATGGTAAAAGACCTTTTACCCTTTACCCAACTTGGCCTAAGGCCAAGGCCAATCTAATTGTCCAAAAGGCCAAATTCCAAAATAATCACCCAAAGCCCAAATATGGCTCAATTTTCCAAATTGGGCCCAAATCCCTTCATGGTCCTTCAACCAAGAGAGTCCAATAAGATGACATCAGCCCAAAAATAAAATTTTGATGGCCCAACAAGGACCTAGACTCCTAAGGTCCAACATGGGCCCACTACCGAAAAGCCCAAAGTTTCGAAGCCCACTGCTGAGTACGCGGGGCGTACTCAGCTCGTACGCTTAGCGTACTCGCTCTGGGGCTTGTACGCACAGCGTACCAGCTTGTACGCCCAGTGTACTCCCCATTTTGGCCAACTTCCATCATTAAGCTCTTATTCGGTTAAAACTTCAACCCAACACTCAGATCTGACTTCCTTAAGGTGGTTTATCACGTAAAGTTGCCAACTTTACGTGCATGCATGGCTTAATGGGGTTCTATAACTCAAAATAACTTAAAAAAGGGTCTTAACACATGCATAAGTCCATAAACACCTCAAAGCTTGCATTTTTATGGACAAAGGGACCAAAAGAACCCTAGATCTACCATCAAGCACTTATGGAGTGAATCAAGAGGCTCAACACTCATTCCAAGGACTCAAAAAGCACAAAATGGCACAAAACTAGATCTAACATCATAGATTAGCAAGATGGGAGCTTTTTACCTCACAAGGATAGCAAATGATGAACTAATCCCAGATCCTCAATCTCCAAGCACAACTCCAAATGGTTCACTTCTTCTTCTCCTTCACAAAGCACCAAAAAACACAATTTATGTCTCAAAACTCTCAAGAAGTCACTAGGTTTTCGATTTCTGGACAAGAGGGGATGGAGGATGTCTAAACATGACCAAATGAGGCTATCATAAGGCTTAAATAGGATGCAATACCCTAAAAATTAGGGTTTCATCAACCACACGTACGTCATGTGTACTCAATGTACGCCCAACGTACGTGGTCCAAAGGCGCTATCCTCTTCGGGCTAGTACGCTAAGCGTACCACCCTGTATGCCCTGCGTACTAGCTTAAAGGCCAAAAAGAAAGGAATTTGCACTTAGGGTTAAGAAGAGACATACCCAAAAATGAATGTTACATGGAACGTGCCATGAATCTGACTGAGCTCGTCTGGAAGATCCAAGCGATATGCAACCCGACCCACCCGGGCCAAAACCCTGAAAAGAACGATATACTTGGGGCCCAGCTTGACCCTCTTTCTGAATCGGGTGACACCTTTCCAAGGTGACACCTTCATGAGAACCATATCCCCCACCTGGAACTCCAGATCTAATCGGCGTCTGTCGGCATAACTCTTCTGCCGACTCTGAGTTGTCTGGAGTCTACTCCGAACCTATTGTATCAACTCAGTGGTCTTGAGTACCACTTCAGTACTCCCCATAACCCGTTGACCGAACTCATCCCAACATATTGGGGTCCTGCATTTCCTCTCGTAGAGCATCTCAAAAGGAGGTCGATCGATGCTGGCATGATAGCTGTTGTTATAAGAAATTTCCACTAACGGAAGGTTTTAGGCCAGTAGCAATCCAACCGGGAGGTTGTGGGCCATAAGGGGGCAATCCAACTAGAAGGTTGTGGGCCATGGGCAATCCAACCAGAAGGTTGTGGGCCAGGGGTAATCCAATCGGAAGGTTGTGGACCCAATATGTATTATTTGTA